ACAACTCGTCCATACATACATCCATTGTGTCAAGCACATTTGTGCATTTGTTGCCATCATCATTTCCCAAACACTTTCTACTTGAGTCCTTGTTATCAGCTTCTCATTTTTTCCACTCTCCCCCACGCTCCCTCCCTCATGAACCCTTGATAATTTATAAATTATTATATTTTTTCATATCTTACACTGACCGATGTTTCCCTTCACCCATTTTTCTGTTGTCCATCCCCCAGGGAGGGGATTATATATAGATCGTTGTGATCGGTTCCCCCTTTCAACCCCCACCTTCTCCTTCACCTCCTGGTATGGCTACTTTCAGTATTGGTCCTGAGTGGTTTATCTGTCCGGGATTCCCTGTGTTTCCAGCTCTTATCTGTACCTGTGTACATGCTCTGGTCTAGCCGGATTTGTAAGGTGGAATTGGGTTCACAATAGTGGGGGGGAAGGAAGCATTAAAGAGATAGAGGAAAGTTGTATGTTTCAACAGTGCTATACTGTACCCTGACTGGCTCGTCTCTTCCTTGTGACCCTTCTGTAAGGGGATGTCCAATTGCCTACAGTGGGCTTAGGCCTCATTCCCCATTTCCTGTCATTCACAATGATAAGATTTTTTTATTCTGGGTGAAGGCTACAATTCTTGATCTTCATCAGCAAGCAAAGTTCTGTCATCTGTACATACCACAGGTTGTTAATAAGCCTTCCTGCAGTGTTGATGCCACATTTTCCTTCATATAATCCAACTTCTCTAATGATTTGCTCAGCACATAGATTGAGCAATTATGATGAAAGGATACAACCTTGACATACACATTTCCTGATTTTAAGCCATGCAGTATTCCCTTGTTCTGTTAGTACAACTGCCTCTTGATCCATGTACAAGTTAGAATGAGCAAAATGAAGTGTTGGGGAATTCCCATTCTCCTCAGGGTTATCCACAGTTTATTGTGCTCCACATAGTTGAATTGCCTTTGCATAGTCAATGAAACACAAGTACACATCTTTCTGGTTGCGTTAGTTCCGGTTGACTACAGAAACAAATCCAGAGACACTCATATATGTGTATAAGAAAGAGCTTTATATAAAGAGTAATTGTATATTAAAAAAAGAAAAAAAACCAGCCCAATCCAAATCAAATCCATAAGTCCGATATTAGCCCATATGTCTGATACCAATCTATACATTCCTCTTCAGACTCACGCAACACATGCAATGACGCCGAATGCAGGAAGATTGCAGGCCAGTGGGTGGAAAGTCTTGTGGATCCAGTGGCAGTGGAAGCATCTCAGCACTGATGAGTCTCCATGTGTGGCTTCTCCAGCTCCAGGGCTCTAGCTTAACTCCATGTGTCTTGTCAGCAGGAAGAAGAAATAGAGTGTGTGCCTGGCCTCCAGTGAGCTATTTACTTCCGTCACACCTCCAAATGAGGTCATCAAGCTGTGACCTGATTGGCAGGCTAGACTCCACCCCTTCACAAGTTGACAGATTATGTAACTGCCACGCTAGTATTCTCTGCTTTCAGCCAAGATCCATCTGATGTTAGCAATGATGTGTCCCTTGTTCCAGCAGTAAGGTTCATATAGGAAAATGGTTACTCAGTTGTAAAGTTCATTTAGAAAGATCAGGACAAATTGCATTTTTAAAATTTGTAAGTCTTCAATAAAAAAAAGGGTTGATTTCCTAGAGTGTACCAAAACCAAGCCCATTGTCATGGGGCCAATTCTGAATGATAGAGACCCCAGAGAAGAACTTCCCTGTATGGTTTCCAAGACAGTAAATCTTGAAGACTGAGGAAAGTATGGAAACGAATTTTATGCCTTACCTTGTATTGAGAGTGTTTGCTATTATTAATATTTCTATGATACAATTTTCAATAGCTACATATTATCCAGCCTTTAAAATGTCACATGTACAGTATCATGGAGGTTAAGGGCTGGACTTTGCAATTAGGTCTTATTTTGAAGTCACACTTTACCCTTTCCTGTGTGTGGAATACTGAGAAAATTTTATATTTTTGCCTCGATTTTGAATTATACAAAATAAAGGTTGTGCTTGACTACTAAATAGGTGTATGAAATAACTGAAACAAAGAATAATTTATATAAAGTTCTCAGCACAGAAATCACTTTATAATTATTGCTGGAGACATTTAGTGTTTATTCTTGTAATTAAAAAGTCCTTGTGGCTTAATGTTTGTGCTTATTAGTCCTTTAATCCCCAGACTGGAATAACTGGAATAACTATGTCCTTTTTTGCCTTTGGGGAGGAGACTGTACTAAATAATTTTGTCACAGTGCCGGCAACAATAGGTTCAAACACAGGCACAGTTGTGAGGCTGGTTCAGGGGCCAGCATTGTTTCATTCTGTTGTGCAGACTTGATGGCACCTGACAACCACAATTGTCTTTGTCTCTGATGCCTTGCCTGACCATCCTTGACAGGCTAGAGCCTTCTGCTATGTCACCCACTGCCATCAAATTAGATTCTGATTCATAATGACCCTGTGAGGCAGAGTAGAACTACCCCTTTGGATTTCTGAGGCTATAAATCTTTACAGGAGCAGGAATTCTCCTCTTTCTCTCAGAGCTGCTGGTAGATTCAAACTGCTGACCATGAAGTTAATAGGCCAACTTGGAACCCACCAGGCCACCAGGGCCCCTTTGTGCTTACATCGTACCCATATACACCGGGATTCCATTCTGTTGTACATAGAGTAACTGCGAGTCAGAGCCAACACAACGGCACCTAACAACGTGTACTCTGTATCAGAGTATCAGCCACTCTCAAGGAGACCCATTGACTTAGCGCTCACCAGGACAATAATTGTGAGGATGGTGCGGCCCGGCACTGTTTCATTCTGTTGTAAGTACATAGGACCCCTGGGAATTAGAACCAACTTGACCCCAAACACCACAAAACAGCAGCGTCCTAGTAGTTAACAGGCTACTGTATATACTTGAGTGTAAGCTGACCCCAATATCTGCGAGACACCTAATTTTACCACAAAAACAGCATTAAAAATGTGCTGGAACAGAGAGGACCATATGGCCAGCCCCACTATGAGACACGACATCCCTCACTGACCCACAGCCCTACAGGGGGACAACACTGGAGACACAGTGCGGGAATAGTGCCCGATCTGACTCCACCACACCGAGACAAAACACCAACAATGTGCAACAGAACAGCAAGAGGAGCAGAGCAAGGAAGTCTCAAAGGAATACCAAAAATAGACTTTGGGGCCAGGGCATGGCACCCCATCAGTCTCGACTGGAAAACACTCCTAAAGGTCAACAAACAGACCTTGAACTATTTACAGGCTTTTCTCTTTTTTGGTCATTGTTTTTTTTTGTTATTGTTGTTTTCTTTTGTTGCTTTGTTTTAATATGTATTGTTTTTTGTGCATATCATTATCTCTTTAGGTCAATTTATATAAGATAGGTGGGATAAA